AGTACCCAAGGAGCTTCTATGATCATTATGCATATTTCAAGAAATTGGCCAATTGTGAGTTCACCTACTTGATTCTATATATTGATGATATTTTGATTGTAAACTGAGATTGATGGGATGAAGAAGTAACCATCAAAATATTTTGAGATGAAGGAGTTGGGTGAAGCTCGCAAAATCTTTAACATGGAGATTCTGAGGGAAAAAAGTTGGAAAGGTTTGGCTCTCACAAGGAGCTTTTTTTCAGAAGTTGTTGAAATTTTTTGGGATTGATGACTCCAGTATGGCAGTGAGTCTACCCATTGCATCTCACTTTTAGTTGAATTCCGAACAGTGTCCTAAGGATGATCGAGAGAGAAAATATACGTGATTTGGTTCCTTATGCTAGTACAGTTGAAAATCCGATGTACATCATGGTTTGTACTAGGCTAGACATAACACAAGTAAGGTTCATGCATGATATAGGAAGGAGCCATTTGAAGACTGTGAAGAGTATCCTAAGGTATCTAAATGGTATAGTTGATGTAGGTTTGGTGTTCAAGAGGCAATCATCTATTATTGATTTATGTGTAGGATACACTAATTCTGACTATGCCCGTGATATTGATAGGTGTAGGTCTATGACTGGATACTTATTCACATAAGCAAGACGACCAGTCAATTGGAGATTAAGACTTTAGTTTACTTTTATTTTTTCTACTACTGAGGCTGAGTACATGACAATCACAAAAATGCGATGAAGAAGGTTATATTGATGCAAGGCCTACTGGATGAGTTGGGAGTTGATCGGAAGTCTCTGTTTGTGTTCTGTGATAGTTAGAGTGTTATATATTTTGCCTGCAAATCCAATCTTTCATGCTCGTACCATGTACATTGATGTGAGATACCATTTTTTTTAAGACTTGATCGTTGAAGGCAATATTCAGGTCAAGAAGATAAATACCGAGGAGAATCCAACAAACATACTCATGAAGATACTAGGAGTTTAGAAGTTCACATACTATAAGAGTTTGGTAAACATTAGAGTTCATGATTGATCATCCACATTTTGAAAAACTACGCTCAGCTTGATCCCTTGGGAGTGGGGTACATAGGTAACCATTTTGGGTGAAATTGTTCTGATATTAAAGCCTAGTTTATCATCTTCCACTTTTTGAAGTGAAATATGAGGTGGAGATTGTTGATTTAGAAATATTTTGACATTAAAATTAGCCTTGCTTTAGAAGGCTTTGATGGTTTGTTAATTAGAGATTAATTATTTCTTAATTATTGGATTTGATTGATATTTGATTGGGATTAGATTTGAAAGCTTTTTCTTATTTTGTTTTGTCTCAAGTCTATAAATTGAGGGCTTGATGGCTATTATAAAAAAGGAGAGAAATATTGAGAGTTTTGTAATTCCCTACTGTTCTATAAATTAGTGAAACCATCCCTCTCCGTGGACATAGGCATGTTCACCGAACCATGTACATCGTTGTGTTTATTAACTTTGTATTATGTAATTTTATTTTCATTATGATTGTTTCCACATGTTTTAGATATCTTGGGTCTATTGTTTAGAGTGATGGTGAAATAGATGGGAATATTATTAGTAGAATTCAAGTTGGATTTTCAAGGGGAGGAATGCATCGATCTTGTTATGTGATAGAAAAGTCTCTCTTGAACTTAAGGAAAAATTCTATATGATGGTAGTGAGACCTGCGATGCTTTATGGTGCATAATGTTGGCCATTAAAAGAGAAGCATAATATTAAGTTATGTGTTGCAGGGATGAGAATGCTTAGGTGGATGAGTGAATTTACTCTTAAAGACAGGATGCGAAATGAGCATATACGTGAAAAGGTTGGAGTAGCTCCATTGGAAGATAAGATTAGAGAGAGTATTCTTGTATGGTTTTGTCCATAAAACGACGACCTTCCGATGACCTGGCTATGAAAGTAGATGTATTAAATTTGACTTATATTAAGAAAGATAAATGTAGACCTAAAAATACTTGGTTAGAAATGATTAAAAATTACCTTTCTTTTTTATATTTAGATGAGAATTTGACCTTTAATAGTACATAAAGGAGAAAAATGATTCATGTAGCTGGCTTCTTATTTTTGTTATTGTTGTTGTGATTGTTTGCACAACAAACCTCGTTATTTTATAATTTCAAGTATATCAAAAATTATGTTGAAATATTTAATGGATACTTTAGTATCAAACATCCATAAATCTTGTATCATATGCAATTTGGATGTCCACAACTTCACCTAATTTTCATTTTGTGTCCACATCATCGCTTACTTTTATACATGATATACCAACAACATTGCCCAAGCTATTGTAAGATAGTTAACAATTTAATCTGGATGTTGGTAATTGAGTGGCATGCAGGAGTACTGGATGTGCAGTTGTGGTGGGGGTTATTTTTTCAGATGGGGAAATTTGGGTGGTAGCTGAGAGTGCTAGATGTACAACTGTGGTGGGGTCTATTTTCTCAGATGGGGGGACTGGGGGGGGGTTATACATATGGAATATACGAGGATAAGGAAGATGTAGGAGATTTTTCAAGATATAATTTACATTGGACTTTATGGTGGATGAACTTGTATTGAAGAGAATCAACCTTTGCTTCAAGTCGATCAAAATGTCTTCAAGTTGATCATGCCTAGTGTCCAAATTCTCTTCAATTATATTGCAAATTTTTTTGATGGCACTAAGCAATTTCTGTTCAACACTAGCCCAATTCTCACTTTGAGCTAGTGGGAGGTCTTGATGGGTAGAATGTGGGTGGGCTTGAGGGGTAGGAGTGGAAATTTTCTTTAGTGTTGGTGAATGGATTTGATGAGGAAATTGAAGAGGAGATTGATGAGGAGATTGAATATGGAGGTTATCATTAGTAGTTAAGTCATAATTTATATGTTCTGCTTCCTGCTGAGTAACATACTGCATAATAAGAAAAATCTTCATAGATTTTACATTAATATTAGTAGATTGGAATATAAGAAGCACTTCATAGTTACATCACAATGAAATCACTGTAAAAACACATTAAAAGAGCAGTTAAACCGAGAGAAGACACCGCACTTTCACTGCATTTTTACTGTGCTTTTACTATGCTTTTACTACGCTTTAACTATACTTTAATTGCGCTTTTGTTGCTATTTTATTGTTCTTTTACTATTAATTTTCAATATTATATAAGAAATTATAAATCTTTTCATATTTAATTTACATGGTAATTATAAATAACAATACACATCTGCCTTTCCTTTAAGTTAACAAATAAATTAAAGGCCTTTTCTGCATAATAAAAAATATTTGTATTGCCCCCATCTATGAAAGTGTGGTCTTAAATCTGGGTACTTAGGTGTATTTGCAGCAAAGTGCTCCAGGAATCATAGCTGCATTAGACAATGTCAAGTAATATTATATTATGAATTATAAAAAGATTTTATAATTAGAATTAGACTTGAATGAACTTATGATTCACCAATAGGAGTGGTAAAAATTCATTTATGTAACCAAGTGGCTTATCCATAGCAAACTTGGTGGCAATTTTATTAAATTCATGGATAAAAACTTCTCGAATACTCCCAACCCAATTAATAAATGAGAATTATTTTATATTACTAGCTATAGATATTCGCCTTCTTAGGGTTTTAAGGTTGTTGAGTGGAAAAATAAATTAGAGATAAGGAACATTATAATTTTTTTTACTATAGCTGCTTGATCAGCTGATATGTTTAGTTTTATCATATCAGTTTTAATTTTAGTTGATAAAACTCTAATAAGTGATGTGTTCTATCATATGATCACAACACCTCTATTTAACAAATATGTGAGCAATATTTGGCTAAATTGATTGAAGAAATTATATGGAGACATTGAAGAAAATTTGTTTTTAAATTCAAATCTGTCATTATAACCATCTCATCAGTACTAAATTTAAACAAATGACCTTTGATGATGAAGCCTTGTTTAGAGCTATCCTAACATTTCAACAGCTCGTATAAAAGAGGTATATTTTGCTGGAATGGTGCGAACATAAAAAACTGATGGATGTTAAGAGTTTTCAACATCTTTGTGAAATATTTCTGAAGGTTAAAACGTAGCAACGAGAATTAACTCGACGTGAATAAGGAGCCATATGAAAAAAAAAAAATAGTGAATAAGATGAAAAATTAAAGAAAATAAAGCACAATAAAATTGCAGCAAAAGCACGATAAAAGCATAGTAAAAGCACAATAAATCACAATAAAAGCACAATAAATCATAGTGAAAGCACAGTCAAAGTGCTATCGAAGTTCTTTAACTTCGCTTTTACTACGCCTTTGGTTCACTTTAGCTGAGCTTTAATATATTTATCAAAGTGTAGAGAAAGCCTAACTATAGTGCATGTAAAGCGCATTGAAGCTCAGATGAAATTGAAAAGATGAAAAGAACTGTTTACATCATCGATATAGAAAATGATACCATTAAATCCTAAATACAGTGAAATCACACATAGAACATAGGAAAAATTAGGAAAAAAATAACAAAATATAGTAATACACAATAAAAGCGCAACCAAGGCACAATATTTTTTACCTGTTTTTAGAAGCAAAGTAGACAAACTTCTACCACCCCCGATTGGTCCTGGAGAATGAAAATGTTGAAGATTTGAAAAACATCTTATGGAGAACCGAACGAGAGGAGAAAGAGTGAAAAATGCCGGGTGAAAAGTAAAAATGCCCATTTTGTGTCTTTTGGACCTATTGCATTTAGATTTTCAGGGTTGGTCGGTTCGATCGGGCTGACAAGACATAAAGATAAAGTAATATACAAAAAAAACACGTAAATGATCCACATGTCTAATTTTAATTGTAGTCCAGACGTAGTGCTATGTCCGGTGTTGCACCTAGTAATTTTTCTTTTTTAAAGGGTCAATTTTAAATACAAAAATTGCAGGGTGTTTAATATAAAATGAAGCGACTATCGGTCGCTAGACCCCACCCCAAACTTCCTCGTGTGCTTATCTTGCGCTTCCCTTTTTCCTTCTCTTGTATGATTCACCACCAGATCCAACCTTAGATCGCCGGGGAAGATAATACCTATCGGCCATGGCAAGCGACAGCGACCTCGACGAGGACGAGCTACTCCAGATGGCTCTAAAGGAACAATCGGAACGAGATATTAACTATCACAAACAGTCGAAACCCTCCAAGCCCGTCGTCAACCTCGTCCAGGCTCCGCCCCCTCCCCCTTTCATGCGTGCGAACAATTTGAACCCTATGCCTAACGCTAGGTCGAGATCGAACTCTAAGGGGAATCACAGGGACTCCAAGGGCGGTGCTGACGACGATGATGACTCGGAGGTCGAACTATTGAGCATCTCATCTGGTGATGAGGAGTCGTCCAGGGACTTGGGGGTTACACAGAAGGTGCGGCCGCAAAGAAAGGGCTCCATTGATGAAGACCGTGGGGATGATGGCGGTGAGCCTCGCTGCTGGAAGCGGGTCGATGAGTCGGAGGTAAGAGTTTCTGCCGCCACACTCTCTTTTTTCGTATTTATGTTGAATTGCTTGGCAATTTGTTTGTGTTGGCGTTTGAATTGGTGGATTCGTTAGGAATCACACTTTATTTAGTTCTATTATTATTGTATACGGTCTTATTTCACAATTGTGTGGGAATAAGTCGTTTTCTTTTAGAGCTGAATTATCGATGATCCTAAATACCGCAAAACTGGCGTGGTGCTGTTCCAATGGTAAGCCATTTTTTTGCTTATGCGCAAAGGTAAAGATCCTTCTCCTTTGGCGCGTTTTTCGGTTGAGAGAGAAAAATAGCTTGGGTGAACATTGGCGTTGCACTGTTCAACCGCAAGCAAATGGAGGACGTTTTGGCGTTCGACTGGAGCGACCGAACAATGCCAAACGCTCTCGTTTGGTGTTCGGTTGGAGATGGTCTTAGATTATTTGGGTTGGAGTTTGGCCTGCATTTTAGTTGAGTAGGTGGCCGAGGTTAAATTGTAGCTGCTTTGTTTGACTGGAAAATTTACTCCCTCCTAGGGAAGCGAACAAGGTTGGGTAGAGCTTTGATTTGCTAAATTTTATATTTTGGAAAATTCAAACAGCTGGATTTCTCTGTTGGATGTAATATGCAATGACCAACCAACTAACCTACTCTCAGTGGTCTAATTTGGTTTTGGTAAAAGTCGGGACCTGATGAAAGAGGACAGGAAGAGAAGGAGAGGGAAGGGAATTACCCTGGTCAAAAGTGATGTCAGTTGTATTATTGGTAGTTTTCTCAGTGAATTTATTTTCAAAGCTGTTTAGCTTAACAATGTTTATGAAGAACCTAATAACCAGGCAAAAAGAAACTTACCTTGTTCTGTTAATCATAACCATTTATGCTTTAGTAACCCCCCTCATATAATTCAATTTCATTATTTTTTGAGCGGGAGGTTGAAGCAAGTGTTCTAATCCATCTATGTTGATAAGAACATCAATTCTTCTTTCTTTTGGTTTTCTATTGCTTTCACTTGTTTATATGAACTTCAATGGGCGCAAATCATCTTAATTAAGTTGGCTTGATTTGGTTAACCTATTAATGTTGCAAACCATTTTCTCCCTTTCTTTTTTCTCCTTATCCATTGTGTTCATACATTAATGCTCACCTATTCTATTCTTTCAATCCTATTTATTAGATTAAATTTGGTTTGCTAGTTTTCAATCCATAGTTTAATATTTTATGTTTTATTGAATTTACTTTATGATTGGGAAGAATGCGTGTACAAATATTTTCCTTTTTTAATTCTAATTGGTTACAGAAAAGGTTCTATTTTCTTTGGACGAAATTATAATTTATTATTAAATGGGAAAACTATTATAATATATATAAAGTATTTTCTTGGGCATTTGCAAATAATTTTTACAATTTTAATATAGCTAATAACTTATGTTCGTTTTTGAGAATTTTGAATTATTTGATTATATTTAGACTACAGTAACCCATGTTGTGGGTGGTTACTTGTGCACAAGGAGATTTAGAAAATATGCCCTTTTTATAGCAATGATTCATAAATGAATGTTATACACCTACGTGAACTTAATAATAATATAATAATAATGATAGTACTAATAGTATTGCCTCTCTTACTAACACTACCATCACTAATAAGCATGATAATGATAAACTTAGTATATTAAAATAAAAAGTATATTGTACTCGATAAACTAAGTTGTTAAGGGGTTGGCATCTTTTATATTCTATGATTAATGAGGCTGTTATATGTACATATATATACATATATAGTAGATATTTAATTGTAATTAAGAATACATGTATATATAAAATATGCATAGTTTGACATGACTATTATCCATCATGTGATAAAAAAATGTTAAGATTAACATTTAACCGAATTTATACCATATTAAGCATTGATATTATCTTATATTGGCACATATATATTATGTGTATAGATGGATCTAAGGTGGTCTGTCGGAAGTCCGACAATATTCTACCAAACCCCCATCGGATAACCCAACTAACATCCACATTTCCATGTAATAATGTCGGACTTCCGACAGACCACCACGTGACACCAGACTTCTATCCCTATTTGTCACTTGATTTCAGCCATAAGATTGATATTTGTATTATGATAACCCTTGATGGTGAGTTAATCCACTGTAATCTTCTCAAAGTTTAGTTAAATCATTTTTAACTAGGCCATGCCCCATGGTTTTTTCTCTTGAAAATTTGTGAGGGGTATTAAACCCTAAAGAACTAGCCCGAGGCTAAGCTATTAATAGTTTTAAAAAATATTAAATTAAAAAAAATATTTTTGATCTTTTTAAATATTTAAAGTAAAACAATAACTTTGATGTGAAAAAAAAATAATTTTCACAATAACAATACAATCAGATATTTCAATAACTAAATAAATCACAAAAAGGGTTATCATAATACAAATATCAATCTTATGGCTGAAATCAAGTGACAAATAGGGATAGAAGTCTGGTGTTAAAAGATACAAAGATTTATAGGGATTTGATCAAACACAACCTGCATCCACTCCCTGAAGACTACCTCTTCAGGTATTGCACTATTAACAAAGTGTCTCTCCTTTTGCCTCCACAGTAAGGATTTGTAAAGTCTTCTATGCCAACCCATATTAGTCAAGAATGGTAATGTTGATCCACTATCCATTTTTAGATTTCACTTATATATTAATTTTATTATGATTATGCTCCCTCGTTCATTCACATTAGTGTTGAATCTTGATTATGTTGTTAAATCTAAACTAAAGTCCCACCACAGAAAAATAACTTGCAATAAATAAATATGGAAATTAAAAGATACAAAGATTTATAGTGATTTGATCAAACACAACCTGCATCCACTCCCTGAAGACTCCCTCTTCAGGTATTGCACTATTAACAAACTATCTCTCCTTTTGCCTCCACAGTAAGGCAGAGAAGACTTTACAAATCCTCTCTTCCACCAATCCCTGATGCAGCAGACTTAAGATTGATATTTGTATTATGATAAGATTGATATTTGTATTATGATAACCCTTGATGGTGAGTTAATCCACTGTAATCTTCTCAAAGTTTAGTTAAATCATTTTTAACTAGGCCATGCCCCATGGTTTTTTCTCTTGAAAATTTGTGAGGGGTATTAAACCCTAAAGAACTAGCCCGAGGCTAAGCTATTAATAGTTTTAAAAAATATTAAATTAAAAAAAATATTTTTGATCTTTTTAAATATTTAAAGTAAAACAATAACTTTGATGTGAAAAAAAAATAATTTTCACAATAACAATACAATCAGATATTTCAATAACTAAATAAATCACAAAAAGTGTGAAAATAAAAATACGGTGAAAGTAATAAGAAATAACACACCAAATTTTATAGTGGTTCAGTCAAATTAGACCTACGTCCACTCCTTGGAGACTCACTATCCAATTATCGCACTAAACTGAAGTGACTTTAAATAATTTCACTTCAAATAAAAATTTATTTAAAATCGCACTAACATCCACATTTCCATGAAATTATTCTCCTTTGACTGATCGCCTTAGATTTTAATAGGAAAAAAAAATCGGCTCATGTTGAACAAGCAGTGAACCTTTATTTTAAATAAATTTTAAATTTTGAAAAAAAATATTTTTTTATATATATTTCTCTCTGTACCTTTAAAACTTTATGTAACCTTATTTAATTTTGGTATAACATATATTGATTTTTTAATGATGTATATTTTTTTTACAAATAAATAAAAAGTGATTAAAATAAAGTTTTGTAAGAAATTTTGTTGAATGAGTTAAAATTTTATTATTTAATTTAAAATATTTGAGAGAGATTAGAACCTCTGTGAAAAAGACATAAGGATACGATCATTTATTGGTGCTTTATACTGTTTTAATAATTTTCTACACTTAACGTTATTATTTCAGATTGGAATATTGCAGATCTACTTAATATGCATATACAAGACAGAATTAATGTGGAATTGTTGGGAAGGAAAATGCCAGAATAAATATAACATGCTTTCAAAACGAGCAAAAGATATGTGAAAAATAAGGTTATAGAATGAATGGAAGAGGATGATTTATAAAGCTGATCCACCATGATGATGCTTTGTGATGATGAATGCCATCAATATCAGGAATCGTATGTATATTCCTTGAGGTCAATGTATTTGAATAATTATTATAGTTTTGCTCTGTTCATTTCAACGGAGTAACTGTACTTTTGCTTATGTACTTTCATTTTGTTATCCCTGTTGCTTTTCGTACATAAGTAACCCTGACATATTTAAAACATATTTCGCTGGTAGTTAAGTGTTGTAATATTGAATCAATTTAATGTTGGTGCTTCTTTTCATTATTTCCTTCTAGGAAATAAAGTTTACTGGAATTTGAGGGTTAGAAAGTAGAAATGTTTTGCATGATGAACTTTTTGAGTAAGGGAATAATTTTGGAATAAATCAGCTGATGAAAATGTTTGGTATTGAAAATTATAAGATTTGTTGAGTCCGATGCATCAATTATAGTTATCAATTTGCTTTATTTTTGCCCTTTTGGTAAGACTTGAACTGCCCTTATTTTTTTGCCTCTTTAGTGTCTTGTATGTGTTCATATGCGTGCATGGGGGCAGTGAGCATATTCTTGTGTGCCTGCATTGTTGTCAACAGGCAACTATTAATTTTGTAAGCCTACTTTATTGACCCACATAATTCTATCTTCAGCTTGCTCGTAGGGTTCGTGAGTTGCGGGAGACCAGGTCAACTCCTCAAACTATTGATGCAAAACCATTAGGACGAAAGGGGCTTGCTAACTTACAGTCTCTGCCTCATGGTGTGGAAGTTCTAGATCCACTAGGTTTAGGGTAAGTTTACTTGCTCTAAACAATAATATGCAGTTCATCATATAACTTAGTGCAGTATTGCTTCTCTTTTATTTGTTACGTAGCTATAAGTTCTTATGCTTGGTTCATACCATACGGTCATTTTTTTAAATTTTTATGTGCTAATGAATGTTAGACTTAAGCTTATTACATTAAATATGTTGCTTTATGAGATTAGTTCTTTCAGGATCTTCCTAATATCAATAATCAGTCCACGAGCTAGTGCCATCAACAAATTTGTGAATTTGACGTTGAGGTTGAACTTATGTTAAACTATGTCCGTATTGCTGCTTGATATTTTTCAGAATTTGCTGGTGTTGTTTTATTTCTTGTTTGTTCTATTCACACTAGATATAATGGTAACAGTGATGTAGAACGGGAGAATGATGCGGATATCCAACCTTCCATGCCTATCCAAGGAGGAGCTGAAGATCGACGACCGAGATCACTTTGTTTTATTTTAGTTTATTAAGTGTATTTTGATTTAATTTTACAATTTTCCTTTTTTACCCTCTTGTCTTATATAAGCCCAAGGGGCAAATATGCCTTTTATTTTCTTTTGAGGCCTATATATAGAGGCCCATTCTCTTGTATTAGAATGATGGAATTATAATAAAAAAAATTGGTGTTTGCACTTGTGTTCTTTGGGAAGAACGTTAGTGAAATCCCTATGTGAGAGAGTCGGAGTTTACACCAACCGCATGATGGGTCCGGGCTCGTGACTTGAAGTCCCTTGGAGGAGGACAACGTATCACCCATCAGTCTTCGGAAGAGTCCAAGGCTCGCGGTTTTATCTTTTATCTTTTGTTTTTGTTTTTGTTCCTTCTTGTTGTTCATAGTCGTCATCTTCATCCTCTTCCTACTTCCACCATCACGTCGTCTCCATCTCCACCTTGCCGGCGGTCCATTACCCACCCCATTCAAACCGCCGGCCACACCCTCTCCCATTCCCCATTGCCTAATTTGGATTCCTAGTTTTGGATTGCCATAATTTAGTTGGCCATTGAATTGAAATTTTTCCAAATTTGAAATTTAAAATTTTTCATAAATTATAAAATCTATTTTAGGAAAGTTTTCAAATTTTTCCTCAATTGGATTTTGAATTAATTAGGACGACTTAATTCATTCTAAATCCAACCCCAAAATTAAGGAAGCATTAAAGCCTCCTTAATTCCCTCCCTCTCTCACCCCTAGCCGCCGGCTTCATCATCCTCCTCCTCCTTCCAAAACACAAATCACATCTTGAATTCAAGATGATGTAGAACAATCATGGGAAGATGAGGTGCTTAACGATGTTTGCACGTTTAATTTTAGAGAGCAATAATAAGCAAGATCTCATGTTGATTTGAACGATAAAATAAAATATTAAAGTGATAAATAGCGTTGGTTAAATTATGTGCCTGGAAGTTAAGAGCATAAAAATCAATCAATTTAATATACTTTTGCATACGTGAATGGTCTCAACAATAAATCCCTTTGTTAACATTAAGACAAGCTACTACAAGGAAACATTCACTCAACTCTTCCTATTAGTTGGACAGCAATCGGACGCGTCCGGACAGTGTTTGAAGACATTCCACTCGGCTGGACAACAAGAAACAGGTGCATGTTTTCTCACGACAACACACTCTCATGCCCAGAAAAGTCTCAGGCAGTGAACGGGGACTTATCCAATCAGTTGGACAGCAAGGTAAAGCTGTTCCGAAGGTGCTGCACTAATAGGGGCTGGCGGGAATTATTCATCTTGGCCCGCCGGCTTGAGTCAGCAATTCCTCCTAATTTGATTGCTTTCAATAAGGAAACAATTGACACATTTTTTTTCTCTCAGTCGAAACCTGCAAGGCCCACATCAGTAATTTGTTCCCAAAATTCAGCCTACCCTCAATTGGAAATAATTCCAAATCTTGGCCCCACTTGCCCGCCACTTGCCCAGCAGTTTTTGTGAAGATTATTCATCTCATTTCCTGAGAAATCTCATCCCTGTCTAGTGTTTTTGGATCCCAAGCTGGTGCCAGAGTTTTTCCTGCACCAGTCCCTAGTATTCCGGCAACTCGAGGGCTCACAAACTGTTGTCCAGGAAAGACAGTTGGCTGCCCCTCATTTCCCGCCAGCCCCTAGTACTTCAGCACCTTCGGGACAGCTTTACCTTGCTGTCCAACTGATCGGATAAGTCCCCGTTCACTGCCTGAGACTTTTCTGGGCATGAGAGTGTGCTGTCTTGAGAAAACCTGCACCTGTTTCTTGCTGTCCAGCCTAGTGGAAGGTCTTCAAACGCTGTCCGGACACGTCAGATTGCTGATCACACCTTCAAGAAGGTTCGTAGATGCCACCTACCTCCTTCCAAACCTTCCTATGACCACTGGAGCTTCGTATACTTCATACTTCGGGTTTCGACCTCCGACTCTTTTAGCCTCTTAGTTTATTTTTCCAACGTGGTTATATTTTAATTCACAAAGATGTTGTTGGTCCCTCCGCTAAAGCCTAGTAATAGGAAGAGTTGAGTGAAGGTTTCCTTGTAGTAGCTAGTCTTAATGTTAACAAAGGGATTTATTGTTGAGACCATTCATGTATGCAAAAGTAGATTAAATTGATTGATTTTTATGCTCTTAACTTCTATGCACGTAATTTAACCAATGCTATTTATCACTTTAATATTTTATTTTATCATTCAAATCAACATGAGATCTTGCTTATTATTGTTCTCTAAAACTAAACGTGCAAACATCATTAAGCATCTCATCTTCCCATGATTGTTCTACATCATTTTGAATTCAAGATGTGATTTGTGTTTTGGAGGGAGGAGGAGGATGTTGAGGCCGGTGGCTAGGGGTGAGAGAGGGAGGGAATTAAGGAGGCTTTAATGCTTCCTTAATTTTGGGGGTTGGATTTAGAATGAATTAAGTCATCCTAATTAATTCAAAATCCAATGGAGGGAAAATTTGAGAACTTTCCTAAAATAGATTTTATAATTTATGAAAGAATTTGAATTTCAAATTTAGGTAAATTTGAATTTAAAGATCAACTAAATTATGACAATTCAAAACTAGGAATTATCCAAATTAGGCAATGGGGAATGGGAGAGGGTGTGGCCGGCGGTTTGAATGGGGAGGGTAAGGGACCGCCGGCAAGGTGGAGATGGAGACGACGTGATGGTGGAAGTAGGAAGAGGATGAAGATGACGACTATGAACAACGAGAAGGAACAAAAACAAAAGATAAAAGATAAAACCGCGAGCCTTGGATTTTTCCAAAGACTGACGGGTGATACGTTGCCCTCCTCCATGGGACTTCAAACCATGAGCCCAGACCCATCATGCGGCTGGTGGAAACTTCGACTCACTCCCATAGGGATTTCACTAACGTTCTTCCCAAATAACAGATGTGCAAACACCAAATTTTTTTATTATAATACCATCATTCTAATACAAGAGAAGGGGCCTCTATATATAGGCCTCAAAAGAAAATAAAAGACACATTTGCCTCTTGGGCTTACATAAGACAAGCGGGTAAAAAAGGGAAATTGCAAAATTAAATCAAGATACACTTAATAACTAAAATAAAACAAAGTGATCTCGGTCGTCGATCTTTAGCTCCTCCTCGGATAGGCATGGACGGTTGGATGTCCGCATCAAAGGCCGAGGCTCTCGTTGAGTTCCTTATTTACCAATCCCCTTCCACACTGACATAATCACTTCTTTTAAAGAGGAATTGCCTATCAAATATTGTTCGTATAGAAAATTACTATGTACCCATTGTTGCTGAAAGTGCAGCTTAATCTTGTTATTACAGGCTTACAGCCTTTTATTTGAAAAGTAGGGTGTAATTACTATCTTTTATATGCTTTCACCTTTAATTTGTGTTTGACATTATCAGGGTAATAGATAACAAGTCTCTTAGGCTGATTACAGATGCTCTTGAAGAGAAACCTGAGGCAGTGGACCCTAATTATCGAGGTATGCAATCTTTTAGAGTTCATTTATTTATTAAGTCTGATTTATTGATATTTTGTTTTGCGAATGTTTTTGGCTTGCTGCATTTATTTTTGTGTAATTTTAATTTTGTTGTCAAGTATAGTGCTTCACACTTCTTCGAACATTTTTCTTGCCTATATGGTTTTCTGAGTTTAGTTGAACTTGACTGTGACAGGCTTCTTTAGGACATATTTTTATTGACTAAAGCAATTCATTCTTTAAGTTATTTTTTTAAAAAGAAAATTTATTCATATTTTTAGCCTTAATCTCTAGGTTTTGGTGTTTAGGAAACCCTGGAAGGTTCATTAGTTGAGAGTATTATTTTCTCAAATCAATATTTTTCCATTAAACATTCAAGAAAGAGGGTCCTGCAGTCCCCATGAGCAAACTATTGATGATATTTCTTGTTATTTAAGTTCATTTTTGAACAGACCAGAAGAACGCACTTTCGAGCTTGTCATTCAATTCTGAAGGTTTTATAGTGCGTAAGAATAAGAAGGATGGCTTAAGACAAATATACAATCGAATGGAATTGATAACTTATTTTAAGCACATAGTCAAGAATGAGAGGTTTGACACCAACTATTAGACAACTATTAAAGCTATGATTGATTGTTCTCATGGGTGGTAAATAGTTTTTTAAAAAAATTTCCCTATCCTAATGTTTTAGGTTGTGTTATTGTCATAATAATGCAATTCATTTTGTTATAGTGATTTATGAAAAGGAAGTGATGTAGGATAGTTAGGGTCTAATATTTTCTTATGCAACCTAAAGATGAGATGCACCATGCAAACATAAAAAAAATCATAATCCCCAGGTTATTAACTATCCTAAATTCTGATGTATTTACCTAGAACTAAATCTTTTTATTTACTTTAAAACTTCAAATATCAAATCACATAAAAAAATACCACTAATATTAAAAATGCACCTTTTATGCGTATGATTTAATGTAATTCAGATACTTAAGTATAAGTAAATATAAATATTATGTGCTAGATATGTAAATTAATAAGAAATTTATGATATGCAGGTTAATCCCCCTATAAACTATTGACTTTAGCAGAAATTGATCACTTTTTGATGCAAAAACAACAAGCGTGCTTGCTTCATTTCAAACACAAACACTTGCAATTAAACAAGATAGAAATCACCTAAAGCAAGAACATGGTTTCTTGCCATCATTAGCTGAGTCTCCCCTGGAAGAACTTGTCAACAATTGTGAAATATTTGAAGAATACAAAGGCCATCAAGGAGCAAAAATAAAAAATGAGAACTTAAATTCATATTGCAATACTCAATGTCATACAGTATTTTCCATTTTTCAAGGCTCATATTTATAGGGCACAAGGGACCCAAAGTATGAAATTTCTGATATGATAATAACATTTAGTCAAATTCAACATGTTTTAATACATCTCTTATGAATTTGAGCAACATTAAAGCTTCCATAGAAAGTTCAATTATTGATTTATAAATTGGGAAAATGACCAAAATAGTTTTCTGACTATTTGTGACTATATAAGTTTCCCAATTTAATCCCCAAGTTCTTCTAACACGTTCCAAAATTGTTCCATCATTCAAATTGGAGGTTAAGATGAAAAGAAAATCTTTTAGGGCGGCAGAGAACTCATGGAACTTGCATAACTTAAGGGGATTTTAGGATCTATTTAAATTGTTAAACTTACCCTAGCTTGAAATGGAGAGGCGAGCAAGAGTTAAGGAACAAGCATAGCTTCCCTCGTGCAGGCGACAAGTGGGACTATTGCACAAAGTTGGAGAAAGGACGAGTAGTGATGCTAATAGGAAGAGGATACAATTTCCTCGAAATCAACAAACAACAATAAGAAATTAGGAAGAATAATACACACACTATTTTTATTGCAAGATATATTAAAGAAAATAGCAATATATAATTGGATCTTCAATTGGAGAGGAAGATTCGGCTCTCTCAAATTGTCGGCTAGAGTTCTCGTGACCCAAGAAATTTTAATTTCAGCAAACTCAAAACATAATCCTGAAATCACCCTATTATTAGCCTTAAATAGGCTCCCATAATTCTATCATAAATCTGAATTCACATCAACCTCTTTTCCCTAAATAAATCTTCCTAATTTCCTAAATCGGAAATCCAAATTAGGAAAGTTTTTATGTGAGATTCAAATTTTAAATTAAATCAAATTGGATCTCATAAGTTTTCTTTCCTAGTCATCCCCACTTATTTGGAAACTTCACCCTCATCCTCCCTAATTCCCTCCCCTCCTTGATGCCGCCGGCCACTAATGGGCCTCCCCATTTAATGCACAATTAACCCTCCCCTTTATTTGGAATCCAAATTGGATTTCAAATATTTTCCCTCCCAATTCTCTAAAACTGAAATTAACTTCTGTTTTTAGAAGAATCTCAATCCCCCCTCTCTCTATACTGCCGGCCTCCCCTCCCTTGGCTCCCCCACTTTAATTCCCCATTAAGACATTAATTGTATTCAATTTGAAATCAAATTTCAAATTGTTTCCCTCCCAAATTAATCTAAATCTGAGAATAATTTCAGATTTAGAGTGAATTCCATCCACCCCAACCAAATCTAGCCTCCACCAAGAAACCTAGCTTCTCCCCTCTACAAACCGGCCACCCCCTCTCCTCTCTTGGGTTTCTTCGTGATCTCTCACCTACGTGTGAAATATGTATGGCGGATCCCGAAGTTGATCATGGGCTCGTATTCGACGTCTACGGAGACATCCACATTCTTCGATCTCCATTCTTTGACGTTGGGTTTGGCTTTGACGACACCATTGAAGATTACTTGGAGAAAGTAATTTAAAAAATTTTTAGGTGTCAAAACCTATTTTATGTAATTATTTATTTAATATTTAATTACTTAGTTATTTAAGTATTATTTAAATAATTATTATAATGATTATTTTGAAATTACAAAATTACTTTCAAATTATTTTGAAACCTCGCTAGGGTGGCCAGTAGATCTCACCCTTTCCTATTTTTATAAATTGATTTATTTTTAATTACATTATTTCCCAAAAATTCATATATATTTATGTTTATTTTAAAACTATTTTAAATTTACATATATTCTAAATTCCAAACTTTGGGAGATCTACTTGTGAAATTTTAAACATAGATTTTATCAATGGATTGCATTCATGGGGAGGTGGATTAGTGGATGATTGAGTCCAAATCATTCATTAATCGCACCATTAAGCACGCTAAATCTTCTTTTTATCGTATATTGCATGTGTAGGACGCACGAGCACTTAGTTACAGATCCTCTAGATAAGTTAGCACTCTTATTTTTTCCCATTATTGAGATGTTGATATCACATATTACGAGCAACTTTCTGATTTAGATGGTAATTTACTTGAAATCCAGGTTAGTAGGAGATTTCAAATCTTGTTTCATGGGAGGGCAGAAATAAAAAAAAATTATCATCATTCCCAATAATTACTGGGCTATAAGTTAGGCATGACATTTGAGAGCTTTCCCTAGATCTCATTTATCAGATGGATACTTTTTACATTGTCATCATGTTATCCTTAATTTGTGTTATTAATTTTTATATTTTTTTTTTTGCAAATTCTTGTAGTTGTCTCATATTAAATCATTTTATTATCTGGTTGTAAAATTATGCTTTAAAAAAAATCTTAATCATAGTTTATGTTGTAGCTGTTATTGGTTCATTAATATAAATGCTAAGCAAATTTTTACAAACAATTTACCTGGCTTTGGACTTTCCTTTGAAAACTCTCCAATAGTTTAAGGGATATTATTTATCCACATAATTTTGTTTTATTGTTGTAGGATACAAACAGCCGACCCCACTTATTGGGATAAAGGCTTGTTGTTATTGTTGTTATTGTGTTATAGGATACAAGCAAATTTTAAACGCATGATGTATTTTTCATCTGTTAATGCATTTTTTTGCTGTTTGATTTTAGAATTACGGGCAAATCTCATTTTAATTTGTGTGCCAAACAGTTAATAAAATCCTACGGCTTCATGATTGGAAACACTTGTAATTATTCATGCCTTTAAGAGTAGTAATAATTTTATTTTACACACTGTGAACAAGATAACGTTTGCAAATGAAGCCTTATTGGTCATGTTAAAAGTCATGGGTAAGCTATAAGTTGCTCTGTAATGATTGTAACATCTGATAGTCTTCATGATATGGTCTTATCACTATCAAGTTGTTTATTGCCTTTAAAAAAGTTAATGGTATTCCTTACAAGTATATAGTATTCTATTTGGCTAAGAGTCTAAGACCATACTTAAAAGAAAAATATCTTATACTTCCAAACATTGATAAAGCCGATAAATCTTCAGAGAGTCTGAAATCGGGGCTAATTTCTTAAAACTTAGATGTCTGTTTCCTGTATCAGGAAATCCCATTCAATATTGTCTATTGTTTTTTATTGCTTATGACATAATAATGTTATTCAAGTACACATGCCATCTTATGGTCTTTTGTGGTTTTATCTAAGTTTTATCTTGATTTTGCAGAAAAGGTGATGTACACTTCTCCAAATTTTAATCCCAAAATTTTTCTCACACTTGTCCACCAAGAGACTAGTGCTGCTGATTTAGAATCCGGTGCCCTTACATTGAAAAGTCATCTAAAAGGATGGACTCAACAAAAGAAACAACTGGTGAAAGAGAACTTTGATTGCTTTGTATCGTGCAAGACCACTATTGATGGTAAGTTATAGCTGCTTCAAGTGGAACTTCTATTAATTGACATTGCTGAAGGCAAACTTGCTTTACCGTGCTTGAACATCATTCTTATTTCACTCAAATAAGGAGTTTGGACGTGGGAGTGTGTGTATTATTTGAATCGAGCTGGCCTGAAGGCTGGGCTATATAAATGCATATACCTACATTCTTAAGTTCTGTGATTTTTATTGAATATCAATCAATTATTCCCTACTAACAAACGTAGTTTCTTTTTTAGATATTGAGTCTAAGTTAAGGCAAATTGAGGAGGATCCTGAAGGTTCTGGTACAACTAATTTGTACGAATCTACACATAGAATCAGTGAACTAGCAAATCGTGCTTTCCAGCCTCTGTTTGAGAGACAGGTAGATGGCTGAATCTCATTAGCCGGGGATTGTAACAAGTTTGCTTTAGAAATCAAGATTAATGAGCTTGATGTTTTGATTTGACTTGAAATAATTCAGGTGCAAGCTGAGAAAATTAGGTCCGTCCAAGGAATGCTGCAGAGGTTCCGCACATTATTCAATCTACCAAGTATAATTCGGGGGAACATAAGCAAGGGTGAATATGATTTGGCTGTTCGGGAATATAGAAAAGCAAAGTCAATTGTTCTTCCTTCTCATGTACGTATGCTTTTAGTTTACTCTTGATGGTTTTCTATGTCATAATATGATGCCATTTTTCAATAATAACTTTATTACCATATTTTTTGACCTTCATTTGTGTTTTTTGTCTCATATGTTACATTGGTTGGATCTAATATGCTGTAATAGATTGAGAAGTGATGCATAATATTTTAGAGTTAGGTTTTTCTGATACAACTAGAATGATAAAATATATGATAGGATTCATAGATCAAAGATCATTAAATAAGCAAAAAATGCCTTATTAAGGTGCAAACTAGTAAATAGGAGCCTTATAACCCGACAATGTTGTAACGATCGAAAAATCTAATGAAATAAATGAGAACTTTGAACAACATAAAATCAATGAGCAATTGCAATTTATTTATTGTAATGAGGATTTAGTTGTATTAAATCTGAATAAAATTATGAAACTGGCAAGCTCATTTTTTTTAAACTAAAAAGAATTTATTATCAGAAAAAATACAACATGAAGCAATTGCAGAAAATCGCTATATTGAAATGGTAAAAGATATAATGCACTGTTAAAATCATAAACAAACAACGAAGCCTAGAGAGAACCCTGAGGATCCACCCTAAAAATGCCTAACTTGAAGTTTGACATATTTTGTAGAGTGATGATATATTTTCTTGCAATTTTTTTTGTCTCGTGGCATATGCCATTTGAAATTTTTTGTCCACTAGCTCTTTAATGCTATAAATGCTAACATTAGAGTTAATAGACAAAGAGTCAGGGCCACGAATATCCCCAACAACAGGATGATCGTAAGGAAGATGGAAACAAAAATCTTTTGTGTATTTGGATCAATAGTATTATTGGTAGGTGATGCCAATCACTACCTATATACTAACTTATGGGAAATACACTAAATTCAATATAGGATGTGATGTTTGTTCAACGTTTTCTGTACAAACAAGATCATAAGTAGTATAATTGCCACCATTGCATTAGAAGGTTGGTTTGTTAGTTGAATGCCCCCTCTACTTTCGATTTCTAGGAGTTTTTTGCAGTTTTGGGGTTTGCCTTGAATTATTCTGTGAAGTTATGACCAAAAGTTTTGCATGAAGAACAATATGGTGGAATGTCCATAAATTTTATCTTCGCCAGTTGCCATGAGCAATAGAACTATTTCAAATCTCCTTCTCCAAGGGTTTGGTATCATTCATTTTAGGCCTCGTTTGATTTTTTTGGTACTTTTATAAAAGGCAGTTTTAAGAAACATTGGTTCATAAAATGAAGTTTTCTAACGGAGAAGCATATATAAAAAGCTTTCTCAAAACAATAGAAAAATGAAACAAAATGAGTTATTGGGAACTTGATTTGACGAACCAAACAGTAAAGAAGAAATGAATTTGTCGTTTTAAAATGGAATAAGCACCAAAAACTTCCAATCAAACGAAACCTTAATTAGAACCCTAGCCATAGATGATTTCAAAAGCCTGGTAGTAGAAGTATTTGCCTGCAGTGGTTTACCAAAAGTTAAGTCAGGAGAGTATAGATTGGATTTGCTGAGATAGTGAATACGATGATGAGGAAAAGCAGCTCAAATAGAAGTAATAGAATGTTCCTTAGAATAATCAAAATAAGCTGACCACTTAGGAAACCATCCACATAGTATGATCTCTTAGAGAAGATTTTTAAATGCTAGATTGTCTGAGGTTGAACTTCATATTGATTGAAATCCAAACAGTGGGGGCTGCCATAGGAAAGCCTTACAATGCTAGAATGCATGAGGAGCATGCAACGAAGAAGATGACTTGTTTATGGATGGAAGTTTAGAAGCTAGAGGGACCGACCATGCTCGATGGGGAATGCGAGAGAGAAAAAAATTTGATGAGTGGTTGTGGGAAAGGCTAAACAAATTGGAACGGAGAGGACACCAGCCAAGTACCAAGGCTGGAGACTTCATAATGCCTACGCAAGGAGGTGTCACAGACTGGAATTGCTAGTGGGCAAAGCATGACATGCCCATGTGATAGGGTCATTAGTAAGCGTCACCGCACGCAAACTGACTGTTGGATCTGAGAGGAAGGGACCCAAATCTGCTGCAAGAGAAAATCCTTCTTAGTTTTCAAATTCGGCTTCTTTGGAGGCTGAATCAATGCAATGATCTTTAGTCTCTAATTACTCAGGCCCCTTTTTGTGTATTCTGTGCTGGCTAATTGCCTAACCTTTTCAGTGGGATGCATTACTCTTGCTCTACTTTAGGAGAAATTATTTTGTGCGGAATCCGGTTATAGAGCTGTGTTCGGATGCCTGTAAAATCATTACACGTGGCGTGCTTACATGGAAAGTTAGGATATTCATTTGACTTCTTACCCGACCCGTTTGTCTTTTCGGACTTACTGCAGATGAAGAGAAATCCGCAACAAATAACCAGTAAATAAGCAGAAAATGCGCAAATATACGCAACAAATACTCAATAAATACGCAACAAATACGCAATAAAATACTCAATCAATACACACATTTTACGCAACGAATACACAATAAATACTCAATCAATACGCATGTCAAATAAATATCGCTGACTTTTAACTTTCCACGTAAGCATCCGAACACAGCTCTATAACCGGATTCCACACAGAATAATTTCTCCTACTTTAGGGCATCTACTCTGGTCATAATATTTTGCTGGAAGAAATTACTGTAGTGCAATTAACATTTTATGGCATTTCTTGGCTAATTTACTTAAAATCCCCTTTCTTATTATTTGTTTTCTTGTTAAATTTCCAATCGACAGATTGTTAAACAGTATTGATGCAAGCAAACTAAAAGGATAGAGCCAAAAAAAGAGGAGAACACTAGGACTAGTAGAACAAAACTCAATTCAAACTAGAATGCTGACATCCAAACAAATACCAAGACAAACGAAAGCCAAACAAACGAAACAAAATTAAGATTAAAAAACACTATCCTCAGAACAACCAGCAAGCAGTTTCCTCACATGTAACGAAAAATAGGCAAAATAAGATAAATGCTTAAGGGCTTGCAAACCAAGGGTTCACCACAACTACAAGGTCCGACGTCCAGCTGATGAGGACATCGAAGATCAACGGTTACGATCGTGTCTATTTATTTTCATGTATTTTATTTGTTATTTGTACTTTTTCATTTCTACCCTCACTTGAGGGCTTTGTTTTATGTTTGCCCTAGGGGCAATTGTGTCTTTTAATTTTCCCTCATGTATTTGGCTATTTAAGCCCTCCCCTCCCTCTTGGAAAGGGATGATGAATATTGATATGAAAAATTTCAACTTTGGTTTTGGATCTCTTTGTGAGTTCTGAGTTCTCTTTGTGAGTTCTCGAGTGAGGAATAGCCTAGGAGAGGCTCAAAGCAATACCCAACAGCCCCTTGGTGGAGCTCTTGGTTTTCTATCGAATTTCTTCTTCTTTCCTCTCCCCTTAGCCGCCGGATTTTCCCCACTACCCCCCTCCACTTGGCCGGCCAACACTCTTTCCCTTCCCCCACCGCCAAAACCCCCAACCACAAGCTCATGCCGCCGGCTCCCTGGCAGCCACCACTCGCCGGCCTCCCTCCCAGCCCCTTAGCCCCTTCTTCCCCTTTTAGCCGCCGGCCTCCCTCTTGGGAATTTCAAATTTGAAATTCAAATTTGTTTCCAAGAAGCATTGAAGACTTTCCTAAAATAGTTCCTTGATTTTAGGAAATCATCTTAATTGAATTTCAATTCAAATTTGAAATTCAAATCTTCCCCAATTGATTACTCATCTATTTGGAAACTTTCCTATTTAATTAAAATCTGAGAATCAATTCAGATTTTAATTAAATCATTGATTAAAGTTGTGGTCCCCACTCTACTTATGACAATTGTGCTCTCCCCTCTCTCCATGTGGCCGGCCCCCTTTAATGGGTTTTTCTCTCTCCCAAATTAAATTAAAAGCTCCACCAAATCAGCCCCAATTACCTCCTCAATTAACGCTCCTAGTCATTAATGAATTAATTTGAAATTTCAAATTAATCTCCCTCCAAAACAACTTGGAGCTGAATTTAATTTCAGTTTTTCTAAATTCCTCCCTCTCCCTCCATCTCACGGCTAAGCCCTCCTCCA